ACACTACAGAGCCATCGACCACATACTACATAAGGTCGTGAGTCGCTCCACAGATAGATGGGATAGTCGACCTTCCGTACCGCTGTGGGTTGGCTCTGTCACGCCCGCCCCCGGAGAGCTATTTGCCGGACTCCATAACATCGCTCTTGTGTTAATGATCAGTTCCTAGGAGTTCTGGGGAGTCCTAAGGGGCGCAGGAATCTTGATTAAGCGTCTAGGAGCAGTCCCACCCCTCGTATTGATGCTAGGAGTGTGCTAAGAGTCCTTATAGAGGTGTAGGAGGTCCTTAGGTGGGTGTAGGAGGTCCTTTGATGGGTGTAGGAGGTCCTTTGATGGGTGTAGGAGGTCCTTTGATGGGTGTAGGGGGTCCTTTGATGGGTTTAGGGGGTGATAGGACGATGCTATGGGTGTAGGGTGTTAACTAGGATGCTAGGAAGAGCTGGGAATGCGCTAGGAGTCCTTATTAGGGTGTAGGAAAGATGGGAGGACGCTAGGAGGAGTTGAGAGTGTGCTAGGAGATCCTTAGATTGGTGTAAGGGGAGATGGGAGGATGGTAGGAGGTGTAGGATGATAACTAGGGTGCGAGGGGGAGCTACGGATGTGCTAGGAGAGGTGCAGGGGAAGATGGGAGGATGTTAGGAGGCTCTGGGAGTGTGCTCGGAGATCTACGAAGGTTTTAGGAAGGGCTGGGAGTATGTCAAGGATATGCTGAGGGTCTGCGATGGTGAGAGATGTGCTGGGAGATTCCCCTCTTCTCCCTCTATGTCTAAAACGTGTTAGGAGATCTGTTGTGCTAGGGATGTGTTAATTAAAGTCACTTCCGACTGTATCTGGAATGTGCTAGGCTCTGAGATTAATGTTGGGTTAGGTTAGTGTTGGGTTAGGTTAGGTTAGGTTAGGTTAGGTTAGTGTTGGGTTAGGTTAGTGTTGGGTTAGGTTAGTGTTGGGTTAGGTTACGTTAGGTTAGTGTTGTGTTAGGTTAGTGTTGGGTTAGGTTAGTGTTAGAGATCGTAACCATCAACTAAATTAACCTCGGGGTGTCTAATCTTCAGGTCAACATTCCCCCCTCCCCCTTCATACCTGGAGCCTGTGTTTGTGTGCGTTTATTTTTCCAACCCAAATATTTCCGGTTGAGAATTTACTTGTTGAGTTCTTTCACACGTTGACGAATGAGAACCACAACTGGAGCTGACGTAGGCATACATTTGCATACATTATACACTGAGTGAATTATGTTTCTTTTAACTTATCAACGACGGTGGAAAAACTATTCTATCTTGTTTAGCTGTTGTGGGTGTGGGCGGGGGGGGCGGGGGTGGGGGTAGGGGTGTTTGTGGGAGCAGTATGCCTGTTTGTTTAGTGTGTGTGTTTGTGGGTTTTATAGGGGGTGTGTTTGTTTGGAGGGCGGTGTATGTTTGTGCTTATGGGGAACTGTGTATGTTTACTTGTTTGGCTGTGTGGGGTGCCTGTGGAAACAGTGTGTGTGTGTGTGTGTGTGTGTGTGTGTGTGTGTCGAACGTGGGTGGGTGGAGGGGTGAGGACATGTTAGTAAATTTCCTGGAGAAATATTTTTAGCTGGTCGCCATTTTTCAATCGGCAGTGTCAAAGGGTTATTGAATCGATCATAAATCTGACGTCACTCCCCGCCGCCACCCAAATATTCCTACACCCCCAGATTTTCCAGATTTTCCGGATTTCCAGATTTTCCGGTTTAATTCCCTACCTTAACTAGTTAGAGCAGTCTTAGTGTCTTTCCTCCGCCATATTTTATCCTCAGATTTCGTCGTGTAGTTGCTTGAAGTAGTTAAGTCATATGTGGTTAGGTTAGGTTAGGTTAGGGTGTTAATTATAAGGCGAAATTAGTTTAGTTCCCTCAACTTTTCTCCCCTCTCCCCCCTTCTTTCCGCCTCCCTCTCACTCTCCTATTTTCCGTTCCTGCTTTCCACCTTCCCTTACCACTTGCTTCCCTTACTCTCTTCTTACTTGACTCCCTCCCTCCCTCCCCTTCCCTTCCCTTCCCTTCCCCTTTCGGCCGCCTAGCCTCCGCCCATCAGTCCATCTCTCCCTCTCTTCCCCCTCATCCTCCTTCCCTGCTTCCTACCGTCCTTCCCACCGTCCCCGTACCCACCTTCCTTCCTCCCTTTCTCCCCTTCCTTCCACCCACCATCTCCCTTCTCATCCCCTTCCTTCCGCCCTCCCTCCCCTTCCTTCCGCCCTCTCGACCTTCCGTCCGCCCCTCACCAACAACCTGCTCCGTCCCTGGAATATTAAGGACAGCGGCGTGGTCCAAGACGCGACATGACCCGACCATAACACACACATGACCCGCCCCTGGCACACTATACCTTATTGAGACCCCGGCCATCACACCTACCTGCCCTGGCTCCTCTGTTTTTCATGTTGGTGTGGCTATTCCCGTCACCCCCTGCACACCATATCCCTTGTCACACTATACTCCTCCTTGCCACACTATACTCCTCCTCGCCACACTATACTCCTCCTCGCCACACTATACTCCTCCTCGCCACACTATACTCCTCCTCGCCACACTATACTCCTCCTCGCCACACTATACTCCTCCTCGCCACACTATACTCCTCCTCGCCACACTATACTCCTCCTCGCCACACTATACTCCTCCTCGCCACACTATCGTCTCTATATCCCTCGCCACACTCCTCGTCAAAACTGTCCGTCACACACACACACGTTATTAATCTTCCTCCTCCTCTACTCCACTCATTCTTCACTCCCCACCCCCTCTACTCCATTCACTCCTCCTCCTCCCATTCATCACCTGGTGGGCCCTTAATGACACTCACAACTCAAGAGGTTTATTCATTATACAGTAACACGGGAGAGAGGAGCCGCCTGACGAGGGTTTAGTGACGTGTTGGTGGTAATGGGTTTATTCTGGAGACCTATAAAGAGATAATTAACCTCATAACCTAACCTAACAATAAAAAAAAAATCCCATGTAAAATTGAGAATCGGGAATTGTTAAGAGAAAATATATACGACTATATTAATCAACTATGGTAATATATTGTATATGATTCCCTCAACTGATCGGTATATACTTATAAGCCAAGTACTATATCTCACATAACTAAAGTAAAGTTAAATCTACTTACAAAACTTACTTTACTAACTCGACTTAGTATTGAAGAAGACGGCGAGAGAGTGAAGCTGTACATCATTCTGGGGTGGTTAGCTTAGGTTAGCTTAGGTTAGGTTAGCTTAGGTTGGGATAGGTTAGGTTAGACCCGAGGTATAGCTCCATCATCAGATGTGTCGACCGTCACAGGTGTCGTCACAGGTGTCGTCACAGGTGTCGGCTCCTATTGGGTAATAATAGAGTAATTTGCCCGCGTCACGCCTCCCGTCACTCTAGTGCCTCCGGGCTCAACTGGTGCTTCTGTGTGGCTCTCTTTGGCTCTTTGTGGTTCCTTCTCTTCCTCCTTTCTATTTCCATCACCCATCCCATGTCTTCTTCATGCTCCTCCTCTCCTCTCTTTTCCTCCCTTCTTGCTGCTCCTCCTCTTCCTTTCCCCCCCTCTCTCTTCTTTCTTGCTCCTCTTCTCCTCCCCTTCTCATGCTCCTGTTCCCTCTTTCCCTCCCCTCTCCTATCCCCCTTGCTCGTCTCCACAGTCCTTCCTCTTCCTCCTCCTCCCCCTTCCCATTCCTCCTCTTCCACCCCTCGTCAACACAGGTACCCCATGTTATAATACCCCCAGTGAAGACTTCCCTACTGTTATATAACTTTGAGGCGTGTGTGTGTGTGTGTGTGTGTGTGTGTGTGTGTGTGTGTGTGTGTGTGTGTGTTCTACATTCTTTCCTCCTCTTGTATTTCCGTCACGTATCACTGTCTTCACCTAAACAGTAGTGGAGGTCACCTGTCGCCTCACCTGTCCTTAACTAATCTTACCTTAATGATGCCAGACCCTCATTCTCCGGCTGACTGGTAATTGGTTCCACTCCTAATTGGTTCCGTTTCTAATTGGTCCAAATCATGATCGGTCTCATTCCTAATTGGTTCAAATTACTGATTGGTCCAAATCATAATCGGTCTCATTCCTAATTAGTCCAAATTCTAATTGGTCCACAACCTAACTATAGTGATTAGGGCCCGCAGAATGATCCCTACTCCGAATGGGTTAGACTCCCAATCAGTTTCAGTCTTAAGTGGTACTAATCCTAATGAGCCTCTAATTCTAATGATTGGATTAGATTAGTTTGGGGGGGGGGGTTATAACTGCGGCCTAATTGACACGCACCGTTTTCGTTGTGTTTTAGAAATATATAATTTTAGTTTGGTATATCAACATCTTTTGCCTCAACCAATATTTAACTTTTCCTCGATTTTACAGATTTATCGATGTTATTTTTGTATATATTTGTGTATAAACTTGTTGAGATGACAGGTGTTCCTCCTAGTATAAACATTGTGACGTCATGAGAACGATACTGTACGCTCATTGGTGGAGAGACACGTTGATGAATCATGAAAGTCAACGTTTGTTACCGAGAACTACAAACATTTTCCTCTCTCGTTTTTTTCTTCTTCTTAAACAAACTAAAATTACTTTAACCAGTAAATGGATATGTTTACTCATCTCGTCTTCATAATTTTTTTTTTTTATTATTCGTTTTTGTTTTTTAACGAGAAATCCGAGGAGGTATTTTCCCGCCACGAAGCCGCCCGCTTAAACACATTTTTGGCGGGAAGTATTTTTAATGTAAACAACAGTGGCTAGTATTACACGGCCGCCCGTCTTGGTGGAGCTCATCACGTCTTATGGAACTCTCTCCTTGGAAGGCCACAGTTTTATACGCATATGTTACTCACTGAGGAGAAGAACTACACAGAGACCCTCCCTCACCCTCCTCCCTCACTCTCATCGTCCCTCACCCTGTTATATCCCCTCTCCCACCCCCACAGACCCCCCCCTCACCACCCACCCTCACCCTCTCCCCTGTCTCAAGCACTCAGCCACGGTTCAAGCAACTTCCCCAACTGACTAAAGAAAAAAATATAGTTATAACAGTGACTAATCGACAAGCTGCTGCTGCCTCTCTGTGTGTGAAAGAATACGTGAGATAAAAATGGTGATTGAATTAGCAAGTAACACACAATGAAGAGATGAGGAAGAGGGGGAGAGAAAACAAGAGAAGGGGTGAGAGAAGAAGAAGAATAGATGTAGAATGAGGAGTTAGAAGTGTATGAGGATGGAAGGAAGGAGAGAAGGAAGGAGGGAAGGAAGGAGAGAGAGCGAGAGAGGTCACCCACTACCACCCCAACACCACCATCACCCCCAACACCACCATCACCCCCAACACCACCACCACCACCCTACCTGGTCGACCTACCTGGTGAGGGGCGTTGACGTAGTGCAGGAGGCTGTCTTCTATCTGGAAGTAATCCTCCTTCTGCAGCAGGAAGGTGTTATCTGACGGAAGAGAGGAGGAATGTGGTCAAACGAGGTCACGGGGGTTAAAGAGGTCACGAAGAGGTCAAACGAGGTAACGGGGGTTAAGGAGTTCAAACGAGGTTACGGGGGTTAAGGAGGTCAGGCGTGGGGTCACGAGGGAAGTCAAACAAGGTCACGGGGTCATAAATAGCGAGATATAAGAGACAATAGTGAGATAACTAGAGAGAAAGGGAGAGAAAGAGAATGGTAGAGATAGAGGAATAAAATAAAAAAGAAATGAAGAGAAAAAAGAAAGATAGAGAATTAAGATAACAAAAAGAGACATAGAGAAAAAAGAAAAAGGTATTATAAATTATAACGATGTGAGATGTAGGACGATGAGAGAGAGAGAGAGAGAGAGAGAGAGAGAGAGGGAGAGAGACACACACACAGAAGGCGGAAAGAGAGTAGAAGAAGAAAGGCAAAGACAGAAAGACAGACACAGACAGACAGACAGACAGAATATTAATAAGAACACCATAACGAGGAGAATGATGAGGAGAGAGGAGACAAGAGGCGATTATTACCACACAACACACAATAGAGCCGGACAATGGGCATTAATGGGTCAACACACACACACACACACAGTAAGAAGAGAGAGAGAGAGAGAGAGAGAGAGAGACTGAATATATAGATTGAGGTAATATGTGAATGATTACGTATGATTAATTAGTGTCCCTTCAGGTGTCCCGGTAAGGTAAAGTATATTATAGCCATTAATGAGTTGAAACAAAGAGGAATTATGGGAAGATATGGGGATAATAACCGCAGAGTAAATGATGAATAGTCAGTAATGAAGGATAGGGGAGGAGGAGGAGAGGACAGGAGATAAATGAATAATGTATGTAAGGAAGGAGTAATGGGGCACACACACACACACACACACACACACACACACACACACACACCTTCAGTTACGTGGTGTTCAGGATAAGTATTGCAGTTTACTTAATAGGTTGAGTCGCCCAGGTGAGGGTGAAGGTGACGCCGGCCGGATGATTCTCACCTGAACCTGACGCTGCGGAAAACTCATCTACGCAAGGTGAAGGAGTCACACCCGACGCGGCATTATCCAGAGATAGAAAATTCACCTGACGAAGGATTAACTCCCCTGACGAAGGGGGGTAACTCACCTGACGAAGGGGGTAGCTTACCTGGCGAAGGGGGTAACTCATCTGACGAAGGATTGACTCACCTGACGAAGGGAGTACTCCTCCTGACGAAGGAGCTTAACTCGCTTCACGAAGGGATAACACACCCGACGAAGGAGTAACCTACCTTACGAAAGGATAACTCACCTGACGAAGTGGGTAACTCATCTGACAAAGGGGTAATCACCCAACGAAGGAGTAACTCACATGACGAAGTGTGCAGCTCACCTGACGAAGGTAACTCACCTGACGAAGGAGAACCCACATGACGAAGGGGTAACTCACCTGACAAAGGGGGGTAACTCACCTGACAAAGGGGGTAACTCACCTGACGAAGGGAGTAACTCACCTGACGAAGGGGGTAGCTTACCTGACGAAGGGGGTAACTCACCTGACGAAGGGGGTAACTCACCTATGCAGCACCTAAGGAAGGAGAAGACGTGGGCGCGAGTGGCTGTGGCCCCCGCATCAATAACCACGGTGTAGACGGCTTGCCACGCCCACGTCTTCCCTCCGCCCACGCCCACACACGGAGAGTCTCTCGGTCTGGGGCTTCCTGCAGGAGAACGAGGGGAGAGGGAGACACCTTACTGATTGGTTGGTTAAAGAGCAAAAGATGAGAGAGAAGCAATGTAGAATAAAAAATAATTGACCAAAAAATTAATAATACATATAGATGAATTATTTTATAGAGTGGTTAGTTTATTGTGCACCTTATACTGCGCCCTGTGATCCTATAAGACTAAAGGATTTCATAGTAAAGGTCACAAAGGATCTCTCTGTCAGGTTGTAGAGAGTTGTAGACTAGAGTATAATAATGTAGAGTATAATGATTCAGTATAATACATTAATAAGTCTCATTGGTATACCTCTGTGGGGGCCTGGAGTCGACAGTTGAGTGAAATGGGTCGACTGTAGTGCCGGATGGTGTGTGTGTGTGTGTGTGTGTGTGTGTGTGTGTACTAAGATAGGTCCTTGTACACATGGGAGGGCTGAGTGACTGTCATTGTGTTTCCTGGCGGCGTGTGAGGGCACATCAGGTCTCGTCGCCGTCGCCGTCAGGAGGAAGGCACCCGAGGTTCTTTGTGTTGGGCTGAAGGAAAATGTGACTCAGGTACTAAACTAGATTTACCCTTAAACGTCTTGTTGTGTACAGAGAGGAACTGGTAAAGAGTGGTGGAGGTGGTGTTGGAGGAGGTGGAGGAGGGATGTGGTGATGGAAAGGAGAGGTGGTGGTGGTGGTGTTGGAGGTGGTGGAGGAGGAGGGATGTAGAAATATTGGGTGGGGTTCCTGGAGGTGAGAGAGAAAGGAATAGTAGTGACGGTGGATTTATGAAAGCTGTGCGTGGGTGGGCGTGTGAAGGTGTGGGAGCATATGGAGGCGCGTGGGGGCATATGGAGGCGTGTGGGGGCATATGGAGGCGTGTGAAGGTGTGGAGGTGTGTGGGGAGCATATGGGCGCGTGGGGGCATATGGGCGTGTGGGGGCGTGTAGGAGGCGTGTGAAGGGGTGTGGAGGGGTGTGGAGGCGTGTGGAGGCGTGTGAAGGTGTGGAGAGTGTGGGAGCATATGGGCGTGTGGGGGCATATGGGCGTGTGGAGGTGTGTGGGAGCATATGGAGCGCGTGGGGGGCAAATGGGCGCGTGGGGGCATATGGGCGCGTGGGGCATATGGAGGCGCGTGGGGGCATAGCATGTGGGGGCATATGGAGGCGTGTGAAAGGGGTGTGGGGAGCATATGGGCGCGTGGGGGCATGTGGAGGCGCGTGGGGGCGCATGGAGGCGCGTGAAGGTGTGTGGGACATATGGAGGCGTGTGGGGCGTGTGGGAGAATAGAGGCGTGTGGAGAGCATTGGGGGGGCGTAATGGCCGTAGGGAAAATTATCAAGGACTGTACGTGTCGAGGATCCAGCCAGAGCAGAGAGGGGTGAGGCAGGTGGGGGGAGGGTCTTCTTGTGTTATGGTCCTCGTTCTCAGAAGCCGGATGCTAAAAATATCCTAATATTTGGCCAGTGATCCAGAGTTAATCCGGATAAAGCTGCTATAAATCAACCTAATCTCTGGGTTATGTATTGGGGAGGGGAGAGGAGGAGGTGGGGATGATGGGAAGGGTAGAGGGGAGAGGGAGGGAGGGAATGGGAAAGAGAGGGCTGGAGGAGTAAGTAGGTGGAAAGGTTGCTGGGTGTGGGAGGAGGAGGATGGTGGTGTGTTGTTGGCTGGCTTGATGTGTGTGTGTGTGGGGATGCGTGTGTGTGTGTGGGGGGGGGGATGTGTGTGTGCGTGTGTGGGGGTGTGTGTGTGTGGGGAGGGGGGGGTGGCGTGTGTGTGTGAGGGGCGTGTGTGTGTGTGTGTTTTTGTGTGTGTGTGGGGTTGCGTGTGTGTGTGTGGGGGGGATTGCGTGTGTGTGTGTGTGGGGGTGTGTGTGTGTGTGTGTGTGTGTGTGTGTGTGTGTGTGTGTGTGTGTGTGTGTGTGTATTTTTCCCAGGTAACCGAAGATTATAGTGTAATATAGACACAGGTAAAACACTATCATGATACCCAGGTGTTACCTTAATCTTGTATTATTATCAACCTTGTATAAATTATAAGTCACTCACCTCTCATAATAAACCTCACTGAGAGTTGAGTGGTGTTCCATTAACCTAACCTAACCCTGGATAAACGTCACTACGATTACTTGATATCACCGTACACATATTCTATTACGACTCTATTTTGGTCCTGTTTACAAGCTCTCTATCATTCGTCAGGTGTTTTTTGTTTTTTTTTCATCTACGGGAGTTTGTTTGTGATCATCTTACCTCATCGTGTGGCCAACAGCAGGGTAGTGCGTCATGAAATATGTAAGGGTGGGGGGGGAGGGAGTCCTGCCATGTGTAGCGATGACGTCAGTGTTTTTTGTAGTCAAGGGTCCCCTTATTGAGTTGTGGTGTGGTGGGTGTGGAGTGGGTGTGTGTGGTGGGTGTGGAGGTCCAGGGTGTGGTGGGTGTGGAGGTGGGTGTGGTGTGGGGTGGGTGTGGTGTGGTGGGTGTGGGTGGTGGGTGGTGTGGTGGTGTGGGTGGGTTGGGTGGTGGGTGTGGTGTGGTGGGTGTGATGTGGTGGGTGTGTGGAGGTGGGTGTGGTGTGGTGGGTGGTGTGGTGGGTGTGGGTGGGTGTGGTGTGGTGGGTGTGGTGTGTGGTGTGTGTGGTGTGGTGGGTATGGTGTGGTGGGTGTGGAGGTGGGTGTGGTGTGGTGGGTGTGTGTGTGGTGGGTGTGGAGGTGGGTGTGGGGTGGGTGTGGTGTGGTGGGTGTGGAGGGTGGGTGTGGTGGAGTTATTGGTGTGGTGGATTGTGGAGATTAAGATTGTGGTGTGGTGGGTGTGGAGGTGGAACAGTGTGGTGGAGTGTGGTGGGGTGAGGAGGTATGAATGTTACTCTATTTATCTTATATGAAAGTTAGATATTTCCCAAGACCTTTAATGAGGCACAGGTAGGCAACTAGGTAGGTAGGTAGGCAATTAAAGTGACCTTACCTGAGACTCACCTGAGATTCACTAAAGACCCTCACTCATACTGTACCACACACCCACACACACACAGAACCACACACACACACACACACACACACACACACACACACACACACACACACACTTAATTAACCTTCTCAAGTGCCTCTTTAATGAGTGTGCCTACATGAGAACAGTTCCCAGATCATTACCGCCCATTGCTTCCTTAATGACTCTCAAAATACCTTTACCGTTGTGACCGATGCTGTAAAGATAAGATGGGTCATTCTTTTTGTTTTTTGTTTTTAACCCTCTGCTTATTTTGGTATTGATATATAATGGTTATACCTTCTCTGTGTGTGTCTGTCTGTTGTGCCAGCGTAAAACTTGTCATGCTAACCACAGACTTCTACAGGACTGGAGGGAAAGATTTAATGGGCATCAAATTGGTCGTTACATAGAGGTTCACAGCGGGGTTAAAGGTCACGCAGGGTCAATAAGCTGGTCTGGGGAGCTGTGTTGTGTGCACCTTGTTGGACTATTTTGGGCAGCGTTTTAATTATGCCAATGTTCGCCTCTCTTGATCTGATTGGTGTATTTGGTTTTCGTGTGTGTGTGTGTGTGTGTGTGTGTGTGTGTGTGTGGAACTGGTATATAGTTTCAGGTCATTCTTGTTCAAAGTTATTATAACCTAACCTAACCTAACCTAACCTAACCTAAATTAACCCCCCAGGTAGTGTTAAGGTATTTAATCAACAGGTGAAATAAGTTAAGCTGGGGTGCCTAATATTCAGGTGATCAGGTGGGTGTAGGAGGCGATGGTGATGACGTACCAATAAGCCTGGTGTGGGGGAGGGCTGGGGGCGCTACAGCCACCTCTTCGTCGTCGTCGCCGGCAGGAGAGGCCAGTGGTGGCTGGTCACGGCGGAGGAGCAGCAGCAGAAGCAACAGTAGGAGCAGGTGGGCCAGCAGGAGCACCAGCAGGAGAGAGACCACCCTCCTCTTGCCCCTGCTGCCCGCCACCCGCATGACGGGGGCGTGGCTTGGAGGGGGCGTGGCTGGGAGGGGGCGTGGTTGGGAAGGGGCCGTAGGGGTGGGGCTTCGGCCACTTTCGGGCAGGTCTGGTCAGATGGCCATGCTGTAGTTGTCACGTAGGACCTGTGGGGGAGATAATAATAATAGAGCCACTGAGCCACACACAGGCTGTCGTCTACATGATATAAACTTACTGAAGGATGCCATGGGTAAAGTGTGGCTACAGGTAAAACACACGTCGTAGACATCCCAAGAGAGGGGGAATGTTGTGGTGGTGGTGCTGGTGGTGATGGTGGTGGTGGTGGTGGCGGTGGTGATGGTGGTGGTGAAGCAGGTGGGACAGGTGGAAGGTGAGGGTGGTGGAAGGATATGGGGTGCAGCATGTATGTATGTATGTATGTATGTATGTTTATAATTTGTCCGTAGCAAAAGACAAACATCAATATCACCTATGTAGAAAAAGACCCCCCCCTCCCTTCCTCCCTCTCTCACCCCCCCTCCTTCCCTTTCTCCTCACTTCCCTACCCCTTCCCCCATCTCCCCCTCATCTCCCCCCCTTCCGTGCTCAAATTCCCAGCTACTTCAAATACAGACTTAAATTATTTCTAAATCTATCTAACACAGTTTGAACCCTTGTAAGTCACCTTTGAGCCATAACTTAGAATGGCTGACACTGGCTGACACCTCTGACGTATAGCGAGTGTCCGTACTGGCAAACAATGATGTGTATATTCTGATAGGAAGTCATCGTCATCGTCATCATCATCATCATCATCATCATATTATTATTATTATTATTATTATTATTACGTTATAACTTGGGGGTCGGAGTATAGTTATTTTTACCTTTACTGGTCCTCTGTGAACCCTTGCTACTGACTAATTACCTGTCGATTACCTGAATTAATTGCCTTCCATATATCATTCGGGTTCAGTTGATCTATTAGTATTATTGTTGTTTTTGTTATTGTTGTTATTATTATTATTATTATTATTATTATTATTATTATTATTGTTACTATTATTATTTATTATTGTTTTTGTTGTTGTTATTGTTATTATTATTATTATTATTATCATCATCATTGTCATTGTTAACCAGACATAAATGGCCTCCTCCGTTTCCCTTCTCCCCGTATTGCTAAACTTCCACGAGAGGAAATTCAGAGGAAATCATTAAAGATGATAAATGACTAACCGGCAACCAGGAGGAACTCGGAAAGCTTACCAACAATTACCAACACCATATTAGGGGTAAACAGTGATCTCGTCTAAGAGGAAACAAATAAGGGCTATTAATAGGAGTTCGGTTTCCATTTTAATTCTCCCTGTTCTCTTCCGTGTGTGTTTGGTTGATGGAGGGAGAGAGACTAGGCAGGAATTCCTCGATCCTTAGAGAATGGAGAGAATAAATTGTTATGAAGGAATATAAATGGAGGAGGAAAGATAAGGAGAATAAAAATGAAAACGGGTGATCAGTCAAGTAGGAGTAGAAGATGGAGGAGGAGGAGGTGGAGGAGAGACGAACCACGAAGGAGTAAGGATGAAGGAGGAAAGCCCAGAGGTGGAGAAGGAAGAAGAAGAGTAAGAGGAGGAGGAACAGAAGAAGAAACACAGTCATGCAGGAAGAGAAATGAAATAAAACCAATAAAACAAGGTAATAAAACATAAGCGAGTGACCAGTAATGGAGAGAGATTATAATGGAGGAGCTTAGCCAAGTGACGGGGAAAAGGAAAACGGAAAAAAACGATAAAAAAAAATGGCGGGGAGGGAAACAGGCGGCCAGTCATGAAAGGAAATAAAGAAAACGAAGGTCAACAGCGTATTTACCCCCTCTATCCCTTCCCTGCCTCTTCTATCCCCTCCTTCCACCCCCCCCATCACTACCCGTCCTTGCCCCATCCCCCTCACTCTCCACCACGCCCCCAACTCCCTCCAACCATCCCCCGCCCCGCCCCGCCTTGCCTTGCCTCGTCCCCATTCCTACAAGAACTGGGCGCTTAAAGTTCCCCATTATGCCCCATTTCTGAGCACGGCGGCGCTCATTGTAAGACCCTGGGATGAGATATGCTGTACTTAGGCCGTTCAACCCTTCGTCTCCCCAACACGCCATTGTTCCTCTGATACTTTGCCTTACCTTACTGGGAGGGTGTTAAGCGGGGTACAATGGTGGGACACTTCTATTGTTACTGCTGTGGGAGGGTGATGGGACGGTGGGTGGGTGTGATGGAACGGTGGGTGGGGTGATGGGCAAATTTGAAGGTAGATGGAATAAGTGGTGGTGTCTGGGACAGTGGAGGAATGTTGGAATGTGTGAGGGAGTAGAATCTGGGACAGTGGTAGGGTGAGTGGACTGGTGGGCAGTGTGATGGAATGTGAGGGGTGATGGAACGGTGGGTGTGGTGTGATGGAACTTGGGGTGGTAGAAATTCGATGGAACGGTAGTAGGGAGGTGATGGAACGGTAGGTGGTGTGGAACGGTGGTAGGGGTGATGGAACGGTGGTAGGGGTGATGGAACGGTGGTAGGGGGTGATGGAACGGTGGGTGGGTGATTGAACGGTGGGGTGGGTGTGATGGAATGGTGGTGATGGGAAGGAAGGAAGAGTGATGGGATGGTTGGTGGAAAGGAAGGAAGGAGCAAGATAGAAATGGAAAATAAAAGAGAGAGAGAGAGAGAGAGAGAGAGAGAGAGAGAGAGAGATAATGATGGCGATGATGGTGATGGCAAGGAAGTAAAATAGAATATATAAATAAATACCACCACACACACACACACACGCGCGCGCGCGCGCACACACCAAAAAGCCGAGTCAGAGTATGGGGTCAAAGCTTAACCTCTCTCCCGCACCCCCCCCCCTCTCCCCCCACCTGATATGACCTCCTAAACCAGGGTTGTATACCGGCGGGGCGACACTGATCACAAGTTAAAGTGACCCCGACCGTCTGTTTGGGCGTGAGTCACAGGATAATCCCAGGGTCCGGATTTCTCAAGATTGATGACGTAGTGTTTTGGTTGTTCCTGGTGAGGCTGTGATGGGCGTGGCTTAACTATCTCACTTAGGTTACGATTAAAAGATGGATGCTCAAAGGTTCCAATGTTAATTTTTCGGAGATTTATTCTTAAAAGTTCTTATAAAGGTTTTTTTTTTTTAGTTAAGGACGTATGACATAATATTAAACTAAGTCATTTGAAACTATACTTTAAAGATTTATTATTAAAGGATCTTACGACAACTTATCTCTCTTATCTGAGGGACTTGAACACACCTGATTGAGGCACTTGAAACACACCTGACCGAGGCACTTGTAAAGTTACGATAAAAATGAACAGGTGAGATAATGGTGATATTAACCTTAAATATACCTGTGAGTGGAGGTATTCTTCTATGTACGGCCACACACACACACACACACACCCCTGTAAGAACCATTAATTACCCTATCTAATTAGGTGATCCTACTCGCCAGCTCTTAATCTTACGCTCATAAATCCAGCTCATAAAGTGGCCTCATTATACTGCATCATAAACTACCGTATACATATGATGGAGTCCTCTCTCTCTCTCTCTCTCTCTCTCTCTCTCTCTCTCTCTCAGCTGTACACTTCACAACACAAGACAGACACGTGAGTAGGTGACATTCCAAGAGGGCGTATACCCGTGAGTGGCGAGGAGAGAGAGAGAGAGAGAGAGAGAGAGAGAGAGAGAGAGAGAGAGAGAGATGTTCCTGTAGCTCTCAGCACATGCTACCCCTCAAAGTGCTCCGGGGAGGGGGAGGGAGAGAGGAGGGGAGGGGGGAAGAAAAGGAGGGGAGGGAAGGAGGGAGGTGGAAGTGAGGGAAGACTACATAAGCAAGCAACATATCATTTTCTCTCGAGATTTACAGCGTCTAGTCTCGTGTACCCCTTGGGAGGTCCAGTATATCCAGACAAGACGGAGTATAACTACCTCAGTATATCAGTAGATCAGGTAGTATGTTTGTTAAGACTCGGGAGACAAGGTACACACACACACACACACACACCTGTACTTGTTCATACCTGCATGTTAAATTAATCAGTTTATATCATGTAAAAAAAAATTAAATATACTTTGTCATGTCAACAATATATTTTGCACATCTTTAAAAAAATATATTCTCAGTTTGTTGAGTGGTGAGAGGGAGTGAGTCTTATACACCTGTGTATATTAAGAGACGAGGAATATATTAAAATTAATTAGCCTCTGATGCAATATAAGACTCAACACTATATTTACCAAGTCTTATGCAATAGACTCCCAGGTGTGTTTGTTAAGACTCACTGTAGACTCCTGCTTAATTACACACCAGTGCATTATAAGAAACACGACATTATATCAAATTAATTAGGCTTCTATAATTGTTGAAGTAAGAGTTGCATGCAATATATGCCAAGATGCTGCAATATATACCTTGCAATATTTACCCTACGGGGTTTATTAGTAAGACTTATATTCAAGATTGTTGTTGTTTATGTTGTTCCGGGTTGTAATGTGGTGCTGGAGAGGTCAAGAGTATAACCTGGATGTAGTGGCTGACTGCGAGAATAGAGAGAGCTAAATATAGATAGGGTATTAGTGATGCTGTGTGTGTGTGTGTGTGTGTGTGTGTGTGTGTGTGTGTGTGTGTGTGTGTGTGTGTGTGTGTATAGATTACTTGAACACTAAACACCCAGCTTATTGAATTCTCTAGCACTAACCTAACCTAACCTAGCTTTATAAGTTGGGGTGTTTAATCATCAGTTGAGCCTTTTGATGGAGAGAGAGAGAGAGAGAGAGAGAGAGAGAGAGAGAGAAAGTATACCGTCACCATTATCGACATGTTAACTAATGCACAACCTTCACCGTCAACAAACAGTTCAACCTTCACTCCAGCAACGATAAAATTCAACAACATCCATTAAAAAAAATAGAGTATACAACAAAAATACATCGTCCAGGTGTTTGGGGAGGGGGGGGGGGGCAGGACAACGATACGTGTAGAATGTATTTAATTAAGTCATGGGAGACGTATCTTAAAAGGGCCTGCAACATTTATCAACACAAATTTTAGGACTGGGTGTTGTTGGTGTTGTTGTGACGTCACCGAATCATGCGCGTGTGGCTGCCGTGACGTCAGGAACAGCTGGTGAGATAGTTTGGTGGTGTTTTTTTTGTGGGACAACTTTGTATACTGTAATGTCTTTCCGGCAGCGTGGGGAGAAGTTCTGGCGGCGTACACCTGTTGGCCG